TTTTTTATTACCTTTTTATATCTTGAGACCTATGAAATGTGAATTAAGTCCATCATGGGCCCTAACAAGCGTTTTTGCCCCCTAGTCCCGTAGATTTTTGCCAATAGGCCTTACGATGCCAACCAGTCGGGGGTTGCAAAAGTTTGGTTCATTTTTTTCATATTCAAATAAGAGTGTAATTCGTGCCAATGAAGGGAAACATTATTTAGCCTTTAACTGTGTAACATTAGATTTTTTGAATTGAGCGAAGGTAACGAAAATCATATCATGTTTACTCGAGTATACCTTCAAAAATTAGTCAGTTTTCTGTGATATAACTATAATTTTTTATGGGACACTTGTGTATTTCAGATGATATTTTACCAACAATTTATTTAAGGCTTTTTAATTTGACCTGTTTGTTTCCTGAAAATATAGGCAGTTAAAAAAAAATGTATTTGCTTTTTCCCTCTAATTTCCAGGATACTAGTCCTTTTTTTGTCACTTGACTGTCAATTTTGGTTTGGATAATGGTAAAAAAACACAAAATAAATGTGTTGGCCATCAAAGGTCATCTAGCACTATAGACAGATATAGAGTAAAGGGTAAAGAGATGCCGTTAGTTGGTTGTTAAATGTGCTACACGTCAAAATTCGTGCAGCAGTGTAGGACAGTATGTTACTGAAAGGGATAAAGAGAGGATAGGGTAGAGAGGGTAAGAAAATGGGTTAGGGTGGGGATTAACAAAAGGGTAATTAAATCAAAGTTATTAAGAGAATAATAATGTGGGATTCTACAAGGATGCCCATGGAGTAAGGCTGGGATTAGCAAAAGGGGGAGAGGAGGACAAAAGAGAATCACATTTGTATCCATGAGGGAGCGGAAGGGATAACAGGCTAGGAAGTGGAGTGATGCAGATGAAGCAGGGGGGATGGGATGTGTTGGGAAGGAGTGGGAGGAAGGGGTGTAGGGGGAACATGGGTAGGGTATGGATGGATGCCAGCAGCTTCTTTTAAGTGTAGATGGAATGGGAGCAGAGTTGTTGGAAGATGGATGAGGTTTTTGAAATGGAATTGATTGGGGAGTCTGAGAAACAAAAGTTTTTATGAGAAGGAAAAGAGGGGACAGATGTTTGAGGGGCAGAGGAAGAGGTAGATGTAGGAGAGGCTGGGGTGGAACGAAGAGTAGAGCGAGGAGGAAGAGATGTAAGCATCGGGGAAGTAGAGATTCAAGTGTCTGGATTTACAATGGAAAAATAATTTGGCTGAGGGAGGGAGGGGGCAGAAATGTGACCGTAACGAGTAGGAGGAAGAGATACTGGGGGAGATGTAGAAACATCTTGTAGAGAACGGAGAGGGGCAGAGTGAAGGACAGAACTGGAGTAGAAAATATGAGAAAAAACTCGCCGACTTACTTCCCGCCTGACCTCACGTAAAGTGAGGACTGCTACCTTGTGTTGAGTCCTTACTTTACGAACTTGTAGGTTGGGCAGCCCATATAGGATGCATTATGGGGTACCACCCCAATTGGCACATGTGCATAACTGCCTAGGCAGTTTGAACGATCACGACCAGGTTGGGCACATATATGGAAGCGCCAACATATTGACATTGTGGAGGAGGGGTCGGTATGGTCGAACATATATAAGCTGTCTACGGAAGGTATTTTTGGCAATATTGATGTAGGATTTCCGGTGGTTTTTGGAGGGGAATAGTGAAGCACATGGGACGGCAGCGGAAGGACACTTTTTTTTAATATCATTAGGTATTGGGAATGTTTACTTCGTTTGAAAGGAAAATGTAAAGGATGGAGCAGATATTAAGCATCTGCTCCATTCATCCTGCATCTTGATCACTGCCTGCAGACTCACTCTCTCTCTCTCTCTCTCTCTCTCTCTCTCTCTCTCTCTCTCGCTTTCATTCATTCATTCATTCATTTGAGGTTTGCTAAGTCTAGCTTCGCCCGGGCCTTCCATATATATGGCCCAGCCCGTGACAGCCATCTATTGGCTGTCTCAGTTGATTCTCTGACACTCCATGCTTACCGTGATGGCCCGGTTGCCAGCAGGCGCTCCTGCCTCCATGATGTAAGCATGTGCCATAATCCTGGCGGTTGTTATATGGGGTCCCTGTCTCAGAAATTTTGTGTTCACAACAATGCTTGCAGCACCTGTCTACAGTCAGTTATTTGTATGAAACCTAGTGGAAATGTAGTCTGAATCTGTGAAGAATGACTTCGACACCTCTATTGATTGTTTCAGAGTGCCAGTTGCTCAGCCTGTGGCGACTGAGTATTATCTGGCCGAGGGGGAGGTACTATTTTCCGCTCTGTGAAGCTGCAGGAGAATGACAAGTGCTGTAGCTTTGGAACTGTGCCATAAGATTTTTCGGCTTGGTTTAATGATCATGGGATTTGGGGGCATACCCCTGCCAATGTCAGCTAGTATGACAGCAAGCTCATTCCCTCTGATGCCTATGTGGCTGGGGACCCAGTTTATGTGATTATTCTTCTATCCCGAGCAAAAATCCTCTGTGCTTGCTAAGCACAGTGGTCAGGAGGTAGATGTTGTCACTGGACATGCAACTAAAGCTTAATATTCAAGAAAAATAGAAC